ACTGAGCGGGCTTTCCTACACTGAAAACGAAATAAATAATCAATTGTCTTGTAAGCGATACTGCAGCAACTCTTAACATATTCTTGTTTTGATGTTACATGTACATATCTAAAACCTTATAACTCTTCTCATTCTTAAATATTAATTATCTACCACATCTCATATCTTTTATCATAAGTTTTGCCTCTCACTAATACATTTATCTACACTTTTCCCAGTACGTCTTACTGTTAGTATGTCCCTTGCTTGTCATTCCATCAACCTATGCTGCATCATGGAGTGATATTAGTGAGCGTGGCATTAAATATGACAAGTGGTTCAGATACATTATCATTTGAGGTCAGCTGAGACTATGCTCCAATTTACAATAAAATACTTGTGGAGTAGCTCGTTTTTCTGTGCTCCGATACAAAATTTTGTTACAGGTAGCCACGTAATACTCAAACATACTTGAGTAAGCTGTGCTGCTACATTCATTTTACTGTTTGCACAAGATAAATCCTAAATTTCAGAAAAATACAACCACTTCCATAAGAAAATTAGTTTTCGTAGATCATGTCAGGCCTGCAAACACCTAAACATGCAACCCCGTGCGTGTGGCCATCTTAATGGCATCCTTTTCTTTAAATAAAAGCCAAATGAGAAACATACTTTTAAAATATTTTGGCTGTATTACCTAGCTGGCTATAGTTATCGTGACGTAGATAATGGGCTTCAGACCAGCTATACCGTGGTCTAACGAGTTTGCTGTTTTTTGCTTGCTCATTTACAGCTACAATTGATCTATTTATATCAATATATGGCTTTCTCAATGGACATACAAACTTGATGAGGAAAAATGGTATGACATCTAAATACGGCTTTAGCAAAGTAGAAATACATGTTTCAGGCTTTTATACCACAATAAAACTCCAAAAACACCGTTAAGACATGTTTACGCTATGACGATCGATCAACGATAAAAAGCTAAAAAGCAATTGTTCAAATACGAAATAAAAGAAATATAAATATAAAAGAAATAAGAGAAGTTTTCACGCTAGCATGATTCGATAACGATTTATCGTGTATACGATTAAAAAATATTTTCACAAATCAAATGACGTCATAATCATGGGAAAACGATAAAATCGTTAGTACTACTAAGATTTCATCGTTTTCCCATGATTATGACGTCATTTGATAGACTTGTGAAAATATTTTTTTATCGTATACACCGTAAAATGATCATTGAATCATGCTAGTGTGAAAACATTTTATTGCTTTTATTTTCTGTATGAACAATTGCTTTTTAGCTTTTTAACATTGACCTGTAAACAGGCCTTTAAGCTCTAGCTTGGTAAATGGTATGGTAGTATGGTGGGATGCCTGCCTTCCAATCCCAGAATCCAGGGTTCAAATCTTGCAATTACAGGGTTATTATTTTTTTCTCTAATTATGATATTTTTTTATATTAACTGACCACTTGTGAATATTACAAAATGAATTTACTGACAAAATTTGCGATAGTGAATTGTTCATCAGAACAAGTAAATAAAGTTTTTGACCTGTGAACTTTGTAATAGCGTTTAGGAAACAAACAGCTGTATATACATATGCATTTAATAATGAAAGTAGTAGTTAACACTAGAAAGTGTATGTTAATGAACTAAGCGGTCAGTTTAGATGACAATAATAATTTCAAAATCATGAGTTCTTGTACAGTAATGAGATTACAGAAGATAAGGATTAAAAACTACACCTAGTTTGGCCTGCTGGAAATGGAGTTGATACTGTGCTGTCTTCTGCATGATAAAATTAAACCACCTTTTATGTGGCATGTTTCTTATGCCAAAGGAAGTCATTCCTTAAAGAACCTTTTTGCTATAAATTTGTTTTGTAACACTAGAAATTCTATGTTAATGAGTTAACAGTGTAAATGGTCAGTATAAATAAAAAACTTTATTCTAAAATCAGTTTTCTTTAACATGGTATGTACGGAAGTATTAAAAACTACACCTAGTTCTTTGCCTGTTGGATATTGAATTGATTCTGTGCCGACTTCGGCATGATAAAAATTAATCCACTTTTTATGTGGCTTGTTTCTTATGCCACAGCAAATCATTCTTACTCAAATCATAGAAATGTTTTTTCATTGTTGTTCAGGTACCGTCTCCTGCCAGGTAGGTTGCAATGTCTCTCAATTTGTTTCTATCTTTAGACATCCTGCTACAAGCGTCGTATGTCATGCCAGTCCATTCTTGTATGTTGTCAGACCATTTCTTGTGTGGTCTGCCTCTGGGTCTTTTTCCATTGATTTTTCCCTTCTAGGAGCTGTTTTTGCATGCCATCTCTTCTAATAATATGCCCTAGGAATTTTAGTTTTCTCTTTCTAATTTCTTTAAGTAAACATCTTTTGGTGTTTGCCATTTCCAAGACTTTTTCATTAGTCATTCTTTGAGTCCAAGATATTTTAGTACTCTCTTTTTTTCATAACCAATAGAAAATTCTTTCAATCAGTCAATCAATTAATCAGTCAATCAACCAACCAACGAACCAACCAACCAACCAACGAAGACCTTATCTTATATAAACACAGATTATTAACTAGTTATCTCTTGTATATCTCTTTAACAAAATAATTGTTTAGAGCAAGATAAATTTGAAGATAATACAATTAAGCTATTTAATTAGTATTAGTATTCTGTATTATCATTAATATTGTTTATTGTATTTAATTATTAGAATAAATATTTTGATATCAACAGATTTCCTGATATTACCAAGTCACTCACTTATATAAACACATTTTATGAGACATTGGACATTTATATATACCCTACCTCTTCCTCAAGAGCTAGTAATAAAATACGTATATTTTGATAATAAATGCCAAGTTAATTTGAATGGTGGACAGATATTATGAATAACAATTCTGAATGCATTTATATTGTTGCCATTTATTTATTTAGCATTTCACGCTTGAATCAAGGGCACAAACTATCTTAATTTACAAATCCCAGCAATACAAAAAAAATTACTAAACATATTGAATACCGGTACATACTTGAGTAAAAAACAATTTTATGAAATAGAAGAAACGAAAGTTAAGAATATATTGGACCATGGAGGAAATATATTAATATATAGACCTATCTTAATATATTTCCATATTTGCCATTTATTTATTTAGCATTTCACGCTTGAATCAAGGGCACAAACTATCTTAATTTACAAATCCCAGCAATACAAAATGATTACTAAACATATTAAGTACATACTTTAGTAATAAACAATTTGTATGAAATAGAAGAAACTAAAGTTAAGAATATATTGGACCATGGAGGAAATACATTATATATAGACCTATCTTAATATATTTCCTCCATGATTGGACCAGACATTTTTTTTTTTATATCTGGGTGTAGCTGCTGTTTTACATCCCCAATCATGAAGGTATGTGAGGGGAACTTACGAGTCGCTGTGTAGCAGATCAGATTGAAAAGTGGCCTTCTGGGAAATATAGGATTGGGAAGCAGCGGTCTAATTATGTTGCCAGTACTACTACACAATACTATACCCATTTATATAGCGCCAATTCCAACGAATGTTCAAAGGCGCTGAGCGTTTTACCCCTGGTCAGTGGATAACGTACAACGGCAAACCAGCTCAAAGTGCAACCCTCTCTGCTCCCTGGGGAGTATCCCTAGTTATGCGCTACTTAACGCACGAAACTAGAACATTCAATGCCACAAAATCCTACCAGGTACCCATTTGTACTGCCGGGTAAAGAGAAACAAATGTAGATAAGGTGCCTTGCCCAAGGACAAAAGCGACTTGCACAGCGCGAGATTCGAACCACTGACCTCAAGGTTGGGATTCCAAGCCACAACCGATTCGCCAACCAACCGTAGTATTATAGCAAACCTTTAGTGTCCGGTACAGCATAGCTCCAAAGAACGTCTTGCCTGCGACCTTTTGTTCGATAATTTAACTTTTATGCTTGGCTGATGCTCTTGTGTAATACAAAGGAGTATGGCAAATTATATTGATGTGGGTATTCTAAGGTTATCACAAAAGTTTTTCGATTGATATGGGTTTTACAAAACACAAGTACAACAATATGTGGAAGCAGTTTCAATGAAGCTTCATGAAGCTTCATTGAAAGAGATGCAAGTGCAAATTAACAGATCCAATGGTCAGATTTATCTAACTAAAAATCAGCTTAAATTCGTCTTAAGTCCATTTTTTTTCTTAAGTCAAATTTATCAATATTGCTTAGCTTAAAAATTGCTTAAAATTAGGAAGTCAACTGTACGGAAGCGCCATCTAAGACAATTTTTAAGCCAAGATTTTGCTAAGATGGTTTAATAAATCAGCTTAAGATATTTATTAGGGACATCTTAACTTTTTTTGACTTAAGACATTCGCTAAGCTGAGATTGATAAATCCTGGGCCAGGGACTTAAGCTGAGATTGATAAATCCTGGGCCAGGGACTTAAGCTGAGATTGATAAATCCTGGGCCAGGGACTTAAGGTTCCCTGTAACTCAGTGCACACCTGTTTCAAGGCAAAGGTGGCAAGTTACAATTTCTATTTAAAAATATGTAGCATGAGCAATTAAGATTTTTTTTTTTTTCTAATTTTCTGAGCTTGTGCTACAAAAAAGTACTATGCATAATACTGTAGCTGGCTGTTAAATCCAATAGATCACTATTAGTTAATTACTGTGGTTCCTTATCAGATCAGTTGTATGCAATAATAATTGTTCAATTGAATTGTGTGGCATATTTAAGTCGTCGTTTATGTTACCTTTAAATAACAAATTCTTGTATGAGATAGACTTTCTGTCTTTTGTGTGATTACACTTTCAGTGACCCAGCATTGTTATCACAAGTAAAAAGAATAAAAGAAACACATAATAAAAAAGAAATTTTCAGAAAAGTATTAAAGTCTGCCATCATTCATGTTATGTATTAAAGAAAAATATTTTAAATAATTATTTGATTTATTTATATTCTCAGGGGTGTAGTTGGAAGACAAGGTTTACAGTGCCAAGGTGAGTTCACAGTCAGTTACTGGGTTAAGCTAATTAGAATCTTCGAATTAAATTAATCGTACTTGCTTTCTCAACATTTGTAAAGATAAGTTTTGTTTGCAGTCATATAGAAGAGTGAATAGAATAATTAATGGTAATAAGTTAATGAAATAATCATCACAATGGCATTTTCATCAGGGGTGTGAAAGGCATTTGTCCAAATTAATTGAAAAAGGGAAAATATTTAAAAAAAGCCAAAATCTCATTAATATATGTATTTTTTATTTACCCTTAAAAAAGGTGACACTTCCATCTAAGCCAAGGAGGTGAGCAGATATCAGAGGCCCTCTTTAAAAAAATAAAATACATGACAACTCAAAACACAAACAACAGATAAAGAATATAATTAAAAGTGAAAAATTATAATAATAATATATATAATAATACAGTACAATACCAAGCAAACAGTAACAAAACAATAATATGCAATAGAGTAATATGCAAACCCGGCAGATGAAACTATTCAAATATTTAAGAAATAAATATAATTCTTATGCAGAATATGAGCTAGAAAATCAGTGCTTTCCTCAATGTCAATTTTTTCCTAATCCAGAGTATCCCGCCATGTTAGACAATTGTCTAGGCTGGCGTCATATCAATAAATCTTCTATTTTGCCTGTCACTTGCGCAGTGTTGCAGATTTCCACTGCAATTTGGGGCGTTAATTTAGAATATATAAATTGTGCAGACAAAATGTCAAGCGTGCAAACCTATGCATACACATCACATCTAAGAGTATCTGGCTGCATCGTTTCATTCTGTATTCATGCAAGGCATTTTATAAGCTTTTACTGTGCTATACACCGTTGGCATTTTAAGCTTAAAATATCATCGTTGATCTAGCCTCGCTTAAACTAAATATTTTTTTTCTCATTACAGTGCTTTCTACACTATATGGTATTAAATTCAGTCCAAATAATAATTATAATACTATCATTGTTATAAGTTTACTCATTTTACAAAAAAGTCAATATTTTCAATACAGTCAATATCATGTAAATATGTATTAACTATTTTTTTTATGTATTTAACTATTATTAATATTTATTACTTATTACCAACACCTTGTTATCAAATTGAATTTATTAGGTATAAACAACATCATGATTCATGTTAACATACAAGGAAAGAAAATATATAGTAAAACTACAAAAAAGTGAAAGGTTCTTAATTACCTAAAATTTTGAAAAAAAAACATGGCAATAAAGACGTTGTGATGTTGTTTATATACAGGTAGCTTGTGAATGTAGTAAAGAACCACTTACTTCCAATGGAAATTTAATTTTAATGTTTCTCATATATTTTCAATTGAAATAAGTTAAATTCTTAGTATTATTCTATGCATTTTACAATTTGAGACAAATGTAAAATATCTGTATAATAAGCAATGGCTCAAAAATGTGTCTGAGTCAAATATATGATAACTAACCCAGTGTTATCAAAAAATATTATAAATGTTATTGTCATGGTCTTTGTCATCTCCATCACAATCCTCATAATTATTATATTTTGTCAAGGACATGAAATCACATAAATTGGTAACAAAAATTACATTTTAATATTAATATAGATTCCGATAATTATCTTAAACTTATTATTATTATTATTATTACATTATTTTGCACTTTGAATTGTTGAATCAGTATCTATAAGTAAATCATGATATCCACAGTAAACATTTTACCCTCTTTTGCTTTAGTCCTAAATAAAACAAAAAGACAGTAACTCCGAAAAGAGACAGAGACACTTTGAGATTCAACGTTTCGATCTATTTGATCATTTTTAAGAATACTGATGAGAAAATCTCATTCATCCATAAATTATGTTTACAATATGTATTCTCAGTAACAGAAGCAAATAAAAACCACATAGGATTTGTGTAAAAACAGACCAATCAGCTTAAAATCAGAATTAAAACCAGCCAATTAAAACGAGGTAATTAAAAATGAGGTGTGTCATACATTAAGTAGAACACTTATTTTCATGAATAAACAATGAATAATCAACAATTGTATAGAAGCCTGGGAGTCTATTTAAGACTAATTAGTGGATCCTCTGGTTTTTTTTTCTTTAGTCCAGTTCAGAAAATTAAAGAATATATAAAGAAATAATAAACAGATGCTAGGTGATTTCACTAAAGCTCATAATGTCCATTATATCACATACTGCAACAGACATCTAGTATAGCCGCCGTCAACAAATCCAAATGCTATAGGACCTACTATCCAAAGATGACATACTTCACTATTGAATAGTATAGGAAATGAGAACACACTATTTATTCTCATAATGTTATTAAAAAGATGCATCTTTACTGGATGATAATATCTATCTGCATTTCCCATCTTCATTAAGATCTAATGTAATGTTTTACTGCTGTAATATTCAATATGTTACTTGCTTCTGGAAAGCAAATGAGCTAAATACTCCATTGAATGTAATTGTCTAAACTAGGTTAAGGTGCCTTATAGATTTGTTTTTTATAGCTTAACTCTTAATTTGCTCACTGCAATAAATTCTCGACAAGTACTATGGAACACAAGATATGACCTCAATTTTCTGTTTAAATGTCTCAGCTTTAAGTTGGATTACAAGTTTGTCTCAAAATACGTCTGAGCGTTTGCTGCCTTTTAATGATTTGTTGAATGTAGTATGTAAAAATGCTACTAATTCTGTCATTTTCCTTTTAGTTCTAGGTTTTAAAAGTTTTTTTTTCCTTTTAAGAATCACTTTCATTATTGAGGCATACATCTAAATGATGAACAGTGCATGAAAGGAAAATAAATTAGCAACAAACTGAAACTTAACATGACGTAACTTTAACTATCCAAAATAGTCGATGCAAAACAGCTAAATTACTCTCTCACTTTTACCAAGTAGACACATTGAAAGCAAATAAAAGAAGCAATAGATATGATTCATACCATATGTATCCCAAACCACGAACGATTGAGAGAGGAATTTAACTGATGTGAGTTAAAAAATAATTTGTGGATGTGAGGAAATTTAAAAAAAAACAGTAACTTGTACTGTGAATCCAACTTTTTTACCAGATCACTAGCAATAATTCTTCGTAACACTAAATACATTTTTACTTTAAGTTGTGAAATTGTAGTCAGTTAATAATAATGTTATTGATATTGCAGTAAATGAGGTTTAGGTGATATCAAGGGAAACAGTACCCCCATCCCCATCCCCATTGCCTTTAAGAAGCAGCTCATAAATTCAGACGTTCTCTTCATTAGGAATACCATTATGGTGATCAAAATTTGTAACGTATTCATATTGTAATTCAGCCTGTGCTGTTATGTTTAAAAATTTTATATGTGATTTGAATAAAAGATACTAAGAATATAAAAGCATTCTTGAAGTCTTTCTCACCGGGATTAATCTTAAAGCTGTTTATTTATTGTATATAATCAAGAATAAATCATTAGTTCTGGTCTTATCATTCCTACATTTAACCAGAATACACCTCAGGCAGCCATGGATACTGGCGCGTTATAAACGCACAATATTTTAGCGGCCGTCAGCGAGACAAATATACATGTAGATTTGACCTTTAGATATGAATAATATTTACAGGTGTTGTAGCGAATCTCAGGTGGGCTTGTAGCATTGTATTGCAAAATGATTGTGTTGGGATATTTCTGGTTTATTGATGTAAACTTTTATTAGGTTAATTTTGTTGACGATACGCTTGGATAGATAATTCTGATGGCTGAAAATCCCTTGGTATTGATTTGATGCCAAGATTGATAATAGCTCCCGCAGTAAATCCAAACCTGTCAGTGGTGTCAGCTCTTATGTTCATTAGTTATTCTTCCCCAGTTGTCTTCCCTCTTAAATTCTGGAAACAAATACAATGGAATTGCTTTTAAAAGGGCCAAATAAATATCCAATAAGACAAAAATAAAACAATTTAGTTTTATAATGATTTAAAGGCTTTTGATCATAATATCGCATGTAGACAAGTCCTTATTAGCATTTGGTGCACAAAAAGTCCGATTAAAGTATTGATTACATAAAATACGATATTCAGCTTTTTCTGCTGTTGATAAATAGCCTGTATTCTACCTGTACAATTTGCTTGATTGAATTACCTATGCAACTTGCATAATTATCAAAGAGAATGTTGTGCAGCCTGTTCAGATTGGATTTTTTTATGTGCTAAAAAAGTCCAATGTGAACAGGACTTAGGAACATTTTAATAAGATTGAAACATAGCATTCACACTCAAGTGCTACACTTACGTCTCCCTTGATAATGTGTAATAATGTAGTAAGTGGTAAGCAATCGTTTTCAATGATACTCAAGATCGTTGATGCCATCTTAATCATATGATAATCTCTGCTTCACTCTATGAATATTTTGATGTACAGGGCAACTCTGTCTTTCTGAGAATTCATTTCGTACTGTCTTTGATCTGAAATGGATGATTGAGATCATTTTCTAGTCAAATTAATTTGTTAAAGTAATTCTAATACATTTGTTTTGATGAGTCTACACCAAGTTTTAAGTGCCTTATTCAATTGACTTTTATGAAGCAATATTAAAACTTAAACACTATCACGAAATGATAGATATGAAGAAAATTTCAAACACACATAGACAGCGTGGAACGTTTTCGAGATGCATTATAGAATAGCACACTCTAAAAACTTGAAAATGCATGACATTGACAAAGAAAATATTGTAGTTGCAATACAAAGCAGACCTTATAAAAATGTCATGTTTTCAATTTTAACTAACAATACCATGCAGTCGTACAGTGAATGCAATATACAGTAATGAACAGTCAAAAAAAAAACAAAAAAACTACTGTACATAACATTGATAAACACTAGTATTATAATAATATATCAATCAATATTATCTTGGTTTCTATAGCAACATTAATTTGTTTTACCATGTTCTATTTTTAGTGTGTTGTTTCGTTGTTCACAAGCGATGCCACGAGTTTGTAACATTCAAGTGTCCAGGAGGTGACAAGGGTGCTGACTCTGATGTAAGTCTAATATTTTTAATGGCAATGATGAAACAAAATACCATTATAATGTGCAGTATGGACACCAGTTATGTACAGTATCGTTCATTCAAAATAGAGCCCTGTCCAGAATATTAAATTTTATTTGACAAATGTGACATGCCAAATATTGTCATGATGTCTGACCATATATAGGCGCATCATAACCATATATAGGCGCATCATAACCATATATAGGCGCATCATGACTATATATGGGCATTCAACAGTTTTTTGTCAAAGTAAATTTGATATGTGTGGACAGAGCATTAAGTTCTGTCCACACTATCAAACTTTGACAAAAAACTGTCATATGCCCATATATAGTCAAGATGTGCCTATATATGGCCATGATATGATGTCATCATGACCATATATAGTCATGATGTGCCTATATATGGTCATGATATGATGTCATCATGACCATATTTAGGCATGTCACATGTTTTTGTCAAATAAAATTTGATAGTGTGGGCAGGGCTTTAGACACATGAAGATATTTATGTCAGCAATCCAACTTAATTACACACAACAATCACGCCCCATGGCATTATTCCGTTGCCATGGTTAAAGATGAAGGTACAGTAATACAATTACACAGACATATTGTCATACACATTAATAAAGAAAAATGACTATAATGTAATTAATACAGATGTTTTTTTTAAAATTCTGAATAAAGAAGGAAATGCAGGTTTATGGGGCTATATTAAAATAATAATAATAATAATAATAAGGAAAACTTGTAAAGCACAGGTATCCATTTAAGGGAAAACGCTCATCTCCCCCCCCCCAATACCCCTTTAGAAGAAGTCAAAATATGACAGATAAAAGAAATAATAATAATAATAATAATTTAAGAACCAGAAAAAAAAAGAACAATTATATTACATGAGCCGTACTCATGGCTCATGTTTTTGTCCAATAAAATTTGTTAGTCTGGACATGGCATAAAACCTGTTTTTGCACTAGTTAAAATTTATTTGCACGAATCAAAAGCGTTTTTGCATGCACATTCACATTTCATCATCGAAATCAGTAGTTCAAACTGTGTTTGCTTTTTGCGAAGCGAAAAAATGTGCAATTAATCAGAGCTCAGGAGGTGAAGTGACGTTTTCGATTCGCGTGAATAAATTCGCTTAGCGGAAAAAAACGGCTTAATCCTACATTGATGTGTGTCCTGATGAGATCATAATAATATAAAATAATAACCATGAATAGTATCAGTAGTTTCAAAGTCTAATACCATATTATCACTCCTATTGGGCCAAAGGTGGAGAGCTATGTATATAATCAATAAGTGATCAGTGTGCTATAGGTAAGCATTGCCCATTCTGATTATAATCAGTTTAACCATATCCTTCTTCCCACTATTGATCTGAGCATGCTCATAAGCATACTCCTCATTAAAAACTGCTCAAGTTATCGTCAGGTACTACAGATCAGATTATAACACTCTAGTATTTTTACTGCTTATTTCCCCATATATAAATAACCTAATTTCGTGTGAACCAAGTTGTGGACGTTGATAAATAGATATCTTTTAAATATCTTGTATCATATTTACAATAAATTACAGCATTAAAAGATTACTTGATTAAATTTTAGAGTCGCTACGTCTTTTTAGAATTCGTACTATTGGGTCCTTTTCCATATTGAACTTTGACTTTGTTTATAAATTGTAGGCTTGTTATCTGGTCACTGGTGCACTAATACACATGATAGATTGAAATTTTAGACGAAAAGAAAAGAAAACTATCCGGTTTGCTGTCAGGAATATTTATATATAAATTACCACATACTACATAGCTCTGAAAAAACTACGCGTTCATAATAATACAATTTATTGAATTACTGGCGGCTGAAATAAAGCCTAGACACATTGTGCAGTATGTTGACGTGTTCGTGTGAAATGAACGTAAAATAGGCAGGAGGATATCGTAGAAGATGTTTGTGAAAGTTAACGTTTACATTCCATAAGAAATATCAACTCTAGTTTCAATGAGGTTATTAGCATTCACGAGTTTATTAGGATTTCTTTTTACATACGTTTCTGCAGCTAAATTATCAGATGTACGGCTATGCACTGATCCAAATTGTCAAGGTAAGTCCAGGCTAGGCCTAGCCTGCTTGTGATATGTAGGTGGTGGTATTAGGTAGTGGTTTTCTGCTGTTTCATGCATGCCTGCCTCCTCCTCTTCACTCGACGAGGAAGTAACGTCGACGGCGGATGTGCCTTCCAAGTCTAGGCCTAGCTACCATACACTTCGACGTACCTCTTGAATACGTCTGAATATTAATTAGGCCCTAGTAGTAGTAGGCGCTTGTTATTTCTGAATACAGTGGGATTTGCACATTTATTTATCAAAAATATGATTGTTCTGATCATGTGTACAGTAGGCCTATGTTTGAAACTACCAAGCAAGATGATAAAAATACAGTGCACACTCCAATTTGAGAAACCTCTATTAGACCCCTCTAATTTGAGACTACTTTTTCATTTAAAGAACTAAATAACAATCTTTTAACAAAAATTGAAAAAAACACAGACCAAACCCGAGACCACCCCAGATTTTCAGGTACCAAAAGTGGTCTTGAATTAGAGGGCAAACTGTGTGACCATTGAGTTTTAGGTGTAGGACCCAAAGATATAAATTTCAAGTACATTCTTTGTTATCAACAAGAAAGTGTGCATTTGTTCATCTTTTACTGTGTGATCTAAATTTAGAAAATGAATAGGGTAATAAAAATACATGAATTCTTGAAATATTGTGCAAAAATTTACAATTCACAGTTATAGTAATACCTCTTTATTTTTGCATACGTTTGGGTGACAACCTGTCTTCGAAAATATAATGGACATAATTGAACTTTTTTTTAAACAAACATAAATAACAACAAAATTTATTCATAGGCTGATTTTAAACAATTACAGTCAAACCTCTATTAAGGGAACACCTTTGGGACCCAAAAAACAGTGTTCCCAATAGGGGTGTTCCCAGAATAGTGGTTGGCCGTAGTGTTCCATGATATTTTTTTTCTGTTTTGTATCTGAAAAAGTATTCCCTTTAAAAATAAATTGCATGGAGTGAATAGTGCAGTAAAAATATAATCATCTACAGTAAACCTGTTAATTATCACAATTGGTGAGAAGGAAGAGTTTAGTGCTTTTTGAGTGAGTGGCCTCAATGCTAAGGAAAAAGATTTTGGCATTCCAGCTTGAGGTACGGCAGAGCTGGGCATAAAAATCAGTCGGAGGTCCAAAGTGAGCTTTTGATTAAACACTGAGGGCCGCACCCAGACATTGATGCTTCCAGTGGGCTTCCAAAAACCTCCAAGCACTGCTTTTACACCGCTTTATTATCAGTTTTAATGTTACTTTTTACATATAATCGGTGTCGGCTGTAAAAAACAAGGGTCATCTAGATGCACACATAGGGTTTTTGATTCATTTTCGTGGACCACAAAAAATTTGCTGTCAAGCCCAATGCTGCCCACGGACGGCACTTTGCCCATCATTGGGTTACGATTACCTTTATCTTCCAAATACAGACATAGACATACCAATTACCATACTGCATATTACTGTACCTGATGAACATTCAGTATATTATTATTATTATTACCTTTCCTTTGTTGCCATACCCCACAAGTAACAAGTACATTGTGCAAATTATATATATTTACTTTTGCCATTGAATTTTTTAACTGAACTACTTCAAATTCAATGCTTCACCATTGCATGTCACTAAATAATAATGGCCGTATTTGACTGGTCAATCTTCGTTATCCCCACGGCCACCTGTGCAGTGGTAAAATCCTACTTAACGAGGATAACCAGTTGAATAGAAAACTGGTAAAAACTCGACAAAACAAAATGGCTGCATAGTTACCGCGATACACGCTGCGTAATCAAGGCTGCTTCAGATTGTGGCAGTATGGGTTTTTTCCGTCAAAAATGGTTTCGTCCAGTTTTTTAATTCTGTTAAACTACAATTATTTTTTGACTTCAATGTGGGTAGATATTATAATTTTTATTTTCTGAAATTTAATCTAAATTAATTAACGCAAATTGTTGCTAAACTGACCGATCGGCCATATTTTTTTTGGTCATGTGCATAACTTAACGCTTATTAACGCATTCTGGTTACGTTAATTTTTGTTGTCAATGAAGTCTATTATACGAACCAAATGAAAATAATACTCGACAAAAATTCGTACTCAACGAAATGAACCAGTCGAATAAGCCCAATAATACAGCATTAAAAGATAACTTGATTAAATTTTAGAAAATATTTTGCGCAGTATGGAACGGTATACTTTTGCTGTTGAATATTTTAACTGAACTGCTTCGGAATTTAAGGCATCAGCAGTGAGCGTTTCATTCCATAAGGACAGAATACATAATTAAAATAAACAGTTATATTATACACCAAAGGTCATAACCTATAGAAAAGTAAACATTTCCACAATAATAATAATATAGGGTTTGTGTTCAATTAATGAAAGGGAGAGAACTTTCTGAAAGCAGTTGCCTTTTATAGGACTGTTACAGTCCTTAGGCACTGTGAAATTGTATCTCACTGATTTAATATGTTGTCTATTTCCCTGAAGTAAATTAAATATTTTAATAAATTTAGGTTTTTACCACATACTGTCATATAATAAAGTATTACTTACTTGTTAAATATATTTAATCTTTATATAGTATATTGAAATATATCAATTTTAGTTTCATTATTCTAAGAAATTCTATATTATTCTTGATACATATTCATAAATATATAAAGAGTTTATTCAAATTTGTGTATATTTTGGTTATGATAATAGAATGTATTTAGTATATAATTAATTTAATCATACTCTGGCTTCCACTCAGCAAGGAATGTATCTTCATAAAATATAATTAACATTCACAATACAACGGAAACAACAATTTATAATAATACCAGCATTTTCCTTCAAAGCTGTGTGGTCCAAAACAATTGGCAATGGATGACAGCATTTGCATTCAAGTCAAGGACTGCGTGTATTCTTTCATTCAATGACATTCCAACGGTTGTATTTGATTATATTATTAAAAAAATATAATAATGTGT